CACAGTAACACACACACACAGGTAGCTGTAAAATGTCTTTGTTCCCCCTGGATGTCCATCATTAATCTTGGCGGTTGCCCTCTCGGGAAGCACATACATTTGAGGCAGTGAGGTCAGCAAGTTCACCCAACTCTTCCCTTGGGGCTAAAAGTATGCCTTTGTGTGAATTTGACATATCTGACCTTTTTCTCCTCTACACTTGTCTTGCATCCAAAAAAAAAAGCTGCAATTCTTGAAACCCCCTATTGAAATGCCAAGTTTGTCATTGGCAATTTGAATGAATTCCTGTGTTTGATCACAGCTCAGCAGCGCACCAAATCACATCTTGTGTTTCATAATGAGAGGTGTCTGAGCCATTCTTGAGTACAATAATCCTGTATGAGAGAGCTAGAAGCAGAAATATTCATTCATCCCCCCCCCCCTCTCTTTAGAATCAGGCATGGTTAATCACAGCCAGGTGAATACGAGGTAGATCAGATCAGCTGAAACTCTTTGATTGCTCTGATGGGATTCATGCCTGACTGCCACTTCTTCAGCATCAAGAAACTGACAGCAGGAGGTAAAACTGCAGGGGTCACTCATTCATATCGTTGACAATCCCGCAGACCTCCAAGCACAAGACATTTATTTAAAATTATAGTCAAGATCTCAGTGTCTCAATAAATTACCCACCTTGTGAGGCTGAAATATAGAGAAACGTATAAAATAATGTACGAGACATCTAAAAATTTCCGTTTGATCCAGTGATGCAGCAACACAAATATGGCATCTTGGATTTCAAAGTATACATGTTCAAAGCTTCAACATCTAGTTGAACTAAATCAAAGGCAGCTGGATTTTCTGATTAATTCTTAAAGATGTTTTGTTACTCACCCACTCGTTCCTGTCCAAAGCACACTGACATCACCTGAGGGGTCAACAAGGTCACGTGTGTGAGTCTCTTGAGTCAGCAGGTCCATGTTAGTTGGTGTGAAACTGCCCGGGGGAAAGAGAATGGGATTATCTCTGAGTGAGTACTTGTAGCACTGCTGTCCTGTGACCTGGATGACTTAACATCTCTTTATACCTTGTCAAAAGTTGACAAGTGTAAAAGAAATGTGATGAAGTCTCCAGTCGTTGCTGCAAAACTGTGATCCTACACCACACTGTGAGATACTGTACAGCCACAGATTTCTATTTTAGAGCTTTTGTCATGTAAACACTGTCTCCATCAAAAGTGTCGGGACCAGATTCTCACAAAGTGACGACGACTCAAGCCTCGGTCACACTACATGAGTTTCAATGTCATCAGGTCTCTGTACTGTTGACGCTACACAACATTCAGTCTTGAAGTGGTTGTGGTTCAGCAAAAGGGGCTCACATACTACAAGATCTTTCACAAGGAGTCTGTCTGGTCTCCAAACTATTTTTATCATTCATAATAAAACCATTAATAACAAGCACATCATGTTTCATTTAATAGGAAAGTAGTTTAAAAACACCGAAGGGCAACCACTTACTGTGTTAGAAACAGTACAGTTAGCTCATAATTAGCATGATCAGCCAGCGCTATTAATCAAACTAATAAGTAATAGCAGTTAACGTCAGACAACATAATCATACTTTGACACTTACCCTGTGTTTGTGTAGAGGTGACAAAACCATAAAAATTCTAAATATTATCAGATTGAAGTCAAGCAAACGCGTCTACAAACTAACCACCTGGAATACGCCATCATTAATTAACTAAATTAGTTTCACTACTGCTTAACCTACTCATCATTTTCTTGACCGCCTATAAAACTTCTCCAACTCTCAGTATTGTGACCTTGAGTTTGTAGGACTTAATAAAAGGTGGGGAAGTGAAAGTGTGTTTTCCTCTACCGAGAAGGACTGTAAAGGAGCATTCGGCTTCACGCTACACCAGAGCCCATCTGCAGCACCCGTGTGCGTAGGCGGCAAAAGTATGGCAGGGGAGGATGCCAGCACATACTGCTATAGAGAGGGCATACACGCTGACTATCCAGCACCACCTGTCTCACTTGGGTAACTGATGAGCACAAGGTGTGCAACGGTGTGTGCTCCCATTTATCTGCAGAGAAGATGAGTAAGCAAATTCACCTGTGGTGTCGTCCTCAAGTGCTAATTATGCGGTCAATTTTCTGCAACAGAGGACAGAGTGTGAGACAGATTTATTATGTTTGCATGAATATGGAACAGAAACTAGGATTTAACTGATTCATTGTTGAGAAAATGCAGTCGTATTTGCTCTTTTTTAAAAATGTTTAAGCAGTTGTGTGTTTGTGTGTAAGGAGGTTGCTGGTTCGCCCACTGTGACTTGGCAGGGAAACTCTGCCACTGACAGCTCCTGAGCAGGAGAGTGCCGCAGGCATAGCTCGGGCATGACAAACCCTTCTGGAGCATGCTTATGACTCAACGGAGCCGAGATACAAAAAAATATATATATACTCGAATCCCTAATGCCCTGACCTCCTGCATAATTCTCAAACTGTGTGTGTCCAGTGTTTTTAACCTTGTAAACGACATTCGCAGTTTATTAAGCTTGAGTTTAGGCCATCATTTCTATCAATTATAATAACATTTTTAAAAGGGTGACGACGCCCTTTTTATTTTATGACTGTAGCCATTGGTTGTTGAATGTGGTGGCAGGGCTGACTCAGGTGTATGAGACTTGTAAAGATAAAGATAAAGTAGAGGGAGGAGGAGGAAGAGGAGGAGGATAGAGACTGACTTGAGTCCTGCGTTAAAACTGCAGCTCTCTCATTCAGTTGAATGGAACCAGTCTGTTGGTGCAGCGGGAGTGCCACTGCCAACGCACGTCATCTGGCAAAAAAACACAAAACAAACCAACTTTCGCTGCAGCACAACTCTACATCATCTGGCAAGGTGCTGCGTTGGCCAGTCAAATCCAAACAATTCCTGGTAGATTTCTTTGTAACGTGAACACTGTATTTCTACTCCAAAAAGATAACATATTTGCCGGCATGATAACTTTCCAGAGTTGTATAATCCTGTTTATGAGAATTACAAACACACATATTTAAACACATATAATCTGATACTCAAACTGGATTTACTGGATTGCATCACCAGTACCTTAAACAACACGCCCTCACCAACAGCGTTGTTTTAACGCCGGGCTGTTTCTGTTCTGAATTCCCACTAAAGCTGCCAAAATCTCTTCTTCTCTCTTAATTTGATCTATTTTCTCTTCCAAACAAGTTTGACCGACATGGGAATTTGTTTAAAATCTGAATGATCTTCTGACTCAGTACCTGAACCGCAGGCTACATGAGTACTACATGCACTGTATACTGTCACCTTCCACAAATAAATAAACACAGTGAGAGGCGCATATTGCAGAAGCAAAAGCTTTCAGCGGATTGTGTACACTTCCGTCTTCGCCTGCCTAGAATGAAATCATATTGAATGGGGAAAGCATTGACTGTGAAGATCAGCTCTCCCCACATTTGTTTAAGCTGCTTTTAAACAGTTGAGCCGGAGTAGAAAACAGCTTCTGTGTCCCGAGGGAAACAAAACAAGCATGACTGGTTGTCTCCAGGTTATTTCTTCTGCACCTTAGAGGAAATCTGAAACTTCTCTCCGTCATCCTGAACCTCGGAGGCAGGATGTTATTGGAAGGTTTCATTCACAGTGAATGGCAGCCTGTGTCTAGTGTTTGAGTCTGTATGTGTTAACGGGGGGTCAGACCAGCTGGTTGGCAGAAGTGCACACACCTGCGTATTTTACGCACAGCTGGCACAGTATGGACGCTTTCATTAATTATTTAAATCTTCCTAGCATAGCACCAAGATGGTAATTGACCCTCTACACACTAATGAGCTGCTCTAAAAGTTTTCAAGTTCAACAGTCAGATTGAGTATCGCAGCCAAGCACTAGCATCTTTTTTATACCAATTCGAGCATTAGAGTCTAACTGCTTGTGTCTCTTACCCCCTTCTCACTTCTTTTCAGCACCATGTCCCCAGATCTCAGCA